GCAGGAATTCATACCTGTGCTACAGCCCAGCATACAGACTGCTGACAGGTACCAAGTGGCAAAAACCCCGCTCATAGTGTGCTGTGTTTCGTCAACATGTTTTACTGCCCATGGTTTTCAGCAATTTGTTACTCAATATTTATCTTTCTTTTTTTTTTTTTTTCCTCCATTTGTGCCTACATTGCCTGGCAAGCCATGTTGTTCTATGATAACATTTATTTTTCTTTTTCCCATAAGTTGCCAGTATCTGTGTCCTTTCAATTTAATAATCGCTGTTGAATTTAAACACAAATGCAGAAATCCTAAAAATGATACCAATGTTCAGTCACATGTTAGCAAGAGTATAACCCTTTCTTTCCAAGATACTGGTTACTGGATCCGTTCGTAGCTACTTTTATTCATTTAAGTTGTTCTGAACTCTGTTTTCCAGCTGTTACATGACACGTATCTTCAGAAGTGCTGCTGGCTTGCTCAGGAGCTGTAGGTTGGATGTTCTCCTTTAGGCTGTAACTGACCATAGCACTTGGCTGCCAGATGGAAAACAGGGCTTACCCCATAACCTCTGAACATGCTGGAGTATTTTCAGTGCAGTTCTGCGTCACTCAGGCTAGCTCATCAATGAATTGCCCAAAATGCTCCAGGCTAGCCTCGTCTTTGCCTCCTTCACATGTTACAGAGGTCACTACTGTTTTGGCAGAGAAGTCTCTTCTCAGATGCTGGATTCGCTGATTTAAGTGAAGGTGGGGTGGTACTGGTGGTGAGGGTAATTCCCAGACTTTTCCCTTTCTTGTTTCCAGCATCTCTGGATTGGCATGGCTGCCCTCACCCTTAAGTTACTTCCTTTCTGTCTTTCAGTGTGCTTGCTGGATTTGGTCCAGCTCTTCTGTTCGTAGCCATGACTCAGGACTTGTCTCAACATTAGCATTATGTGTTTCTCTCCAATTTATGGTGCTCCTCTAGTAGCGCTAGGCTCTCATTTCAGGACATATCTTTTGATTCCCTTCCCAAGAATGGCTTGCAGGTAGATGTTACAAAGTCTTGATCCAGTTCTGCACAGTGCAAGTGAAGTGTAGTGCTTTGGTGCTGCAGGACATTGTTTTAAGGGCAAGATGGAGAATTGAGTGCTACAGGCCAGGGTGAGGACAAAGAACTGTTGATAAGAACAGCATGCAGCAGGGCAATATCCCAGGTTTCCCCAGCCAGCATCACTCTAGCTTGCTCAGTAGCTGGGCCTTTGTTCTGCTTGAGAACAAGTCTTAAACTTCGGCTCAGAATAAATGTAATCCCTGGCTGGTGTCTAGTATCTCCACAAGAGCTGGCTTCTGCTGACAGAGACTCACAGCCTGGCTTGATTTGAGCTTTGTGTTGGCCTGTGAAATGTTCACTGTGCCTTTCATTAGTTAGAGAGTTATTAGTGCCCGCAGGATTATATAGCTCCTTTCAGCACATTCGTACTGGTACAAGATACCCTCTGCTCTTGATGGTGGTTGCCAGCCATCCCCTTCCTCCAGAGAAAGCAGGTTCATCTTTCACTCTTCTTTCAACACCAGCCATTTATAGAGGTGATTACAAGGAGGAAGTGGCCTGGGCAGCAAAGGTAGAGGGGGGGGGGAAAATAACCCACCACCTTTCCCCAAGCAAGAACTCTGTACATAACCGGGTTAAGACACTGGGATTTTCCTGTTAGCCAGAACAGCAACTTTTTTTTCCCCACAACAATCATTAACAAAGTAGTGAGAGTATAGACTTTTATGGAACTTTTAACTGTTGAAAGACTTGCAACTTATTAAAGACGTATTTTCTTAAAACATAGCTTAGCACAGGCTATTTGGCTCTCCATATATAAACTCAGGTATGGACAGTACATATGTAGTAAGTGACATGCAGCACCTTTTAAATTACTGCAGTACACCAAATAACTGTCACTTGATTTTGTCTGTCTCTCTCTCCCTTATGGCTTAAGGCATCACACAGTTACCCGCGGTATAACTAAAGGAGTGAAAGAAGATTTCCGCCTGGCCATGGAGCGCCAGGTCTCACGCTGTGGGGAAAATCTCATGGTGGTCTTGCACAGGTTCTGCATTAATGAGAAAATACTGCTGCTGCAGACTCTCGCTTGAATGGACTGGATCGTGACACAGAGTCTCTTACAGAGGGAGGGGAAGGCTCTTCACTCTATGAACAGCATTGTGGCCGTGAAAAATCACTTGTCCTGAGAGTTAGAGAGGTTCCCTATGAGGTACAGGTTCTGCAATACACAAACACTATTCAGTGTTCACCACTTAGTTTTCTTACTTGGGCAGATCAAACTTTATAAATAAAACTTTTTTTAAGAAATCTTCTATAATGTCCTATTTGTTTGTGGGTTTTGGTCTTGGTTTTTGGGGTTTTTTTGCATAGCATTATATTAAGGTGTGTCTCAGTTCTTTCTGTCTTTATACGTACACAGAGGACATAGCAGGGTATTTCAGGCTTTTTATTAGCACTGTTGTGGAAATCCTGAGTTTCAAAAAACCATTATCTTACATTGAATTGGTCTGCTATCTCTTCCTTTTTTAGCTTAATTCTACTTTTACTGCTGGTTTTCAGATTCCTTGTATAAAGAGGATTGCTTTGATCATACTTTGGTAACATCCAAGTGATGATACAAGTCGATAGGAACTGGCCTTTCTGCACTCTTTGAGTGCAGCACATGAAACTCAGACCTCATCCATGCTAGAGGTGTGTAACACAAAGGCCTAGACTGTGCACGGATGGGCTGCCAAACCTGTGGCAGCAGCATGCTGATTCATAAGCCAGTAGACGAGATCTTTGGCAGCAGCTTCCGCAGGATCCTTAACCTAAGGCTTTGATCCAGGACCAAATTGGAAGAACACAATGAGGAATGGTCAGTTGTGTCACCACTTTCTGCAGCACATTGTAGCACAGAGGCGCCCAAGCACTCCCTGCACCATCATGCAGGGCTGAGGATGTTGCCAGTGTTCCCAAGTCAAAAAGATGGCAAAGCTAAACACGTGGCAGGTGAAAGGGTACCTACAAACCCCAGAGTTAGGGGGTGCCTTGTTAGACGCAACAATTGTTGCCATGGTGTCATTCTGTAGTCGCCACCCAGATCCCTTGCTGTTCCCTTTGTAAGCACCATCTGGCTGTCCTTGACTGCCCAACTGCTGCAATATGTTCAGTTTCTCTAGGTGAAGGAGGGAGATCAGTAAAATATTTACAAAATACAGAAAACAAAGAGCAACCGCAGCAGGCTAATAAGGTTTTGCTAAATAGGAAAATACTGTCCCTTATGTCACATAAAAATCTTGATGACAACTTCCACGGCACTGTAAACTTCAAGTAGAATCCCTTTTCAGTAATGCAGCCTAGCATGAGTGGCAGTGTTTCAGGCTAATCCACCTTATACACTTGCCTTGTCAGAATCTAGGCCCGCTACACCTTGGCCACCTCTGTCAGATTTTCCAGAATATCCTTCTCCTGTAAAGTACATACGCTATTATGACCCAAAGTGTTGTTGCAGTGAGGTTCTGAGTCAGATGCTCTGCGTGGGATTGACTGTCCTGCATCTTCCACTTAAAAGGGAAATAGTTTTCAAACACTTCGTGTCCAATGTAGACCAGGATTGAGTTCATTCCTGCAAATAAGCACAGGTCATACCATCTGAAAGAGCAGGCAGGGGCATGCCAGGCTTATGAAACAGTGCCAATGAGGCAGCAAGAGCTGATCACAACAGCTAACGTAACTTGCCCCAAAAGATGCTACACACGTGTGTTTTCAAATACAGTCTGAGGGGTTCACTACCCCAAAACATTTACTGAAAAGAAATACAACCTATATGCTGAATGGAAGATACAGCCAAATCAGTATCCTGATGAGAATCATCACAGTTACTATTGTCTTCAGGGTGGCCAACTGCCAACCTATTTGGTCAGATCTATTGCCTTCACAAACAAATGCTGGCTGCCCTTCAAAGCTCTGGGATTTCTAGTACGAGATGCAATACCGTGCTGTCACCCTACCCATCTCTCTGTCCAGACAACAGACACCAAAGCTGCTGAAAGGTTCCCTCTGCTCTGGGTTGGCATTCTGAACTCAGATGTTTGTCAAGAGCCCAGTGTGGTTAAACCCACAATGGGATGCTTTGGGAGACACACTTATCTAAAAACGGGGACAGAACCTACACAGCTGCCCAGGGGATTTTGTCTTCCCCATCTTCAGAAGTGGTATGACTCTGCTGACAGGCCTTTGAGTTTCCCATTAGGTTACCCAAGTCTCAGCAGTCTTTTCCAAAACCAACTATGAACCAGCTGTGGTATTTTGCTTGGTACTAGGCAGCTGTTCCCTGGGACCTTAACTGGAGACCAAACTGAAAACAAGCATTGGGCAATAGCAGCTTCCAGCCCTCATTTAAAGACTTGACAGTCCCTCTTCCTAAATATCTGGAGCGTCCCAGTCCTACACAAAGGTTCAGCTCAAGTTAAATCAATCTGGCACCCTTCAGGTTACCTCATCCTAAATCCCAACTCTTTCAAAGACAAAGGAAGCGCAGAAAACATAAAAGGGTAGCATCAGTGCCGAAAGAACTGGAAGGATACATTGCCTGCCACCGCTTTACTGACCTGGGTAGAAAAATGGAGCACCTGACCACAGTCTCTTGACATCCACAAGGTAATACATCAGCAATAAGAGGATGAAGGCAAAGCAGCTTGTGGTTGTCACATACGATATCGACCTACACGTTTTCAGCAGAAAGATTATTTAGAGAACTGCATGATATGGACAAATCTAAACATAAGAAAGGCAAAGCATTCTCCAAGGTAAAATAGTATTTTAATAAAACCATACTAAAAGTTGTATCTCTTTGCTTACCATAAGTTCTTGTTTATGGGAATGAATCCATCTTCTTTAGAACATTTTGTTAAGATAGCAGAAATAATTCCCTGAAATAGAAAGTTGCTAAAATTTATGCAGCCACTTCAACACGTTTCAGAAATACAAAGTTTGCATTGCATAAAAAGACACGTCTATTAAAGAGCTATGTATCCATCTGACTTACCATTACAATGCTCCATACAGCAAACCGGCTCATAATTTGTTTGTGCTGGTCTTTGTAGCATAAGATAATTTTTCCTGCCTGATACAGAAAGAACCAAAAAATGAATTAATGCCCATACATGTAACTACATTTCAAGAGTCAGATGTATTTGCCACCAGCCACCTACGCTAAGACAAAGAATACAAGCAGGATTTTTATCAACCAAGTGGCTGAAAGGCTCAGAATGGGAACTCTTTGCAAAGAATGGACACAGAAGGGGAAAACAGAAGAATGCAATAGAGGTGGGTGCACCTCTTCTCCCTTTCCTACTACATTAACGCTGAGGGAAGGGATGAACAACTTTGTTAGCTTAACACAATGTGACTCAAGCTCCATCTTCCTCAGCAAGGACTGCATGAAGGAATACCATCACATCCCCAGCCAGCCAGGACAGCTTCTCCACAGCGCACATTGCACCCTGGCCTGCTTGCAGCACACGCTCCTTTTCACAGCCCATTAACAAACATGTCCCGATAACTCCCTCCTCAGGGTCACGCTTCTGTTCCAACCTCTGCCCCACAGAGATTCCCCATCAATTTGTACCCAGTGCTGCATACAGTAACAGCCGTTCCCAGTTCAAGAGTTTCAGTTTGGCTGGGAGCTGCTGCACTGACAGAAGAGCCAGCGATGACCAAGTAGAACTGCATCAAAAAGCATCGTGTAATACTAATGTGAACCCTGCCTCCCTCGTGCCTGGGATGGTGAGCATACCCACAGCACCTATGCAAGACCATTAACACTGCGCATCCAGCAGATAACTAGCAACAGGGAACACGTGTAGCGCATGTGACCTTTAAAACTGCATGTTTGAAATGAAGCTGTGAAGTGGATGCATCTCCTGGCCCTATTTCCAAGATGCGGAGCCAGCCTACTCCCAGCACAAGCCCAAGCTTAAAACAAGCAAAGGAAGTTTCTGGGTGAATGTTTTGCAAACTTCTTGTGTCCATCCCTTACAAAAACTGAGAGAAAATCTTGGTTTATGTAATGCAAGCTACTGCCAGGTTAGTTTCCACTTCTCTGACACTAACCTTAGGCTAAGTCAGCCTGAAAGCATTGATCTGGAAAAGGTTTTGTCAGAACCAGTCTCAGCCTTAAACAAAAAAAAAAACCAAGTTTCCTCCTCACTTCCAAGATTCCTTCAGATCTTCCCATTATAGCACACGGCCAGAAAGACAAGAGATACCTGCAGTCCCAGAAATGCCGTAAAGATGGTATTTATGGTCCCCAGGATCCCTTCAGGATCATATGGCATTGTTGTCTGGTAAATCACCTTAGAGAGAAAACAGTTGTTACAAGACATTCGAGCAACCAATCTCCCTTCTCTTCCATCCCCTTGCATGTATCATTCCCAAGCCCCTCCTGATAGCTGTGTTTAGCGCTCTCCTGCAGCTTCATACTGCAGACCAAAAGCTACTTACACTTGAAGAGGGATGCTGATATATATGCTTTTCTCCAAGAAGCAATCGATCGATGTAACCAGCCGCTCCTCCAGTGCAGTTGGGATAGTTCCCAAAGTCTCCAATGCCCCCAGGTCCCAGATAGCCCCTAGGACAGAAGCAAACAGGTTACTGCACAAAGCATTGGTATACTCCATCTGCACAGTATCTGATCCACAGGCCCAGCACACTAAACGCTCCATGTTTTCCCTGGCCAGAGGCACACAGTGAAACACAGACCTCAGGGAGATTTTAAATCCTCTTCTTTAAATAGAAAGGAACAATGATGTCACTTTTATAATACCTGAGTATTGGTATAATACCTTTGGTACTTTGGTACCAAAGTAAAGTTTTTTCACATGATGAATGCTTCCTTTAACCCCGCTGGCATAAAAGCTCTCCTATTCACTATTTCCCTATGGCTAATAAGGTCTATTCTCTACTCAGTAGAAGAAAAACAGTTCGATGCCCCATACAAAGTAGTCTGAGTGCACAGTCTTACCTGGGACAACCTGGCACTGGTAACAAAAAGGTCAGGCAGAGCCAAATCACTTCTAACATCAGAATGAAAATCCACTGTGGCCAGTAGGGGAGAATATCCTGCAGAGCAGGACACAGTGTCTCCTGCACGAGATGAAGGGAATGGGTTATTAGCAGGCAAGTAAAAACCATGCCCCTAGGGACATCCTGTGCTTCCTGGCAAGCAGTCCCCCAGATACAAGAAGGAGCCATTGTCATTACAAAACTGGGTTCTACCAATAGACCTTTCATCTTCACAAACGACTTCCAGACACTTAGTTACTTGGGGGAGGTGAAGAAATGAATCAAAACAAAAGCCCACAATGTTTTTGAGCTTGGAAAATGTCAGAAGGAATTCTGATTCATGAGTAGAACAAAAGCCTTTTGGGAGAACAGGCTCCAGGAAGGCCAAGAAGCAGTATTACTTTCCCCTGCTGTGAAAAAACACTGCCAAAATTAACTGGACAAAACACAGGCCACAGGACTAGCACAGAGATGCCTGTCCCTGGGGTCCCTTGGCAGTGGAAAGTCATCAGAAGTGCCTGGGAACGCCTGCTTCTAAGTGCCATCTGAATGGATCGGTGAAATCTTCAAGTAGAGCAAACCTAGACGTGATGAAATGCAGTCTGGGACACTGAAGGGTGCATGTTCCCTGGAATTTTTGCCAGGTCACACTACACAACACATCAGGTAAGATGCTATGTTTTTTTCCTCAACATTTCTCATGTGTTCTTTCTGCCCAAACAAGAGCAAAAGCTCCTAAACCCTACTCAAACATCACTTGTCATCTCCCCACATAACTCACCAAGGTCCCACTTTCGGCACCAGTTCTTGTAAACGGGACTTCAAGAGCAGCAACCACCAGGTATGTGAATCCCAGTCTCTGGAGCACTCCAGGAATACGCAGATTATCCCATGACACTGGAAAACATGCAAGAAACATGGAAAAGGAGCAGACAAGGACTCTTCTGTAAATATGAAAGTTACCCTTCTCCAGGGAGAGCTGAGACCCACTGCAGGTACAAGGGACACTTCCACTCCACCACCCCACTTTCTGGAATCATAACCCTGGGAAAGACAGCACTAAGGTGATAAACAACGGTCAGCACAGGGATCAAACGGAGAGAACTGCATTGGTGCAGAGCTGAATAGCACTCTACAGGATACCATCAAACTGCCTCCATGAAAACAGTCAGTACAGCAAGGCCAACACTGTTTTCCCAACAGCCCAGCCAAGGAGGCAGAAACAGCTGAAGGAATGCAAGGAAGAGAGCAAGTGCCACTCACATGGTCCAAGGCAATAATTGGGATTCACAACTATGATTCCCAGCAGGATTAGCAGAAAACTCCTCCAGAGGATTTTCCCAAGCACCTTCTGCTTGGAACTTCCCCACCTCAGCATGGAGCTCAGTGACAATGATATCGACGTCCCCATGATGAACACAAACCTGGAGGACAGAGCAGATGGGAAGTGGAGCTGGCAGATGTCTCATCACACACATGCATCACAGCAAACACTAAAGCTAAGAGAGTAGCCTGCACTGGCCCAAAAGGAATGCATGCAGTGACTGAAATTGGACAACAGATTGCTAGGAATTCCCAAACAACTGAGCTTGCACTGTGGGACCTTTCCACCTCTTTGGTCAGATGAGGCAATAAAGGTAAGGGAAGTAGCTGCATCCTGGTCTTTTTGCAGCAGTGCATATGCCACCAAAACTTCCATTACCCAAAACTGAATCAGCATCTTCAGAGCAGTGAAACGCAAGCTGCAAATCCAATTCAAATTCAGAACTGACATGCTCCTCCCCTCTAGATCGGGTTCACACTCCAAGCCCAGCTTCAAGAGTAACCCACAACTAGCATGTATTTTAGAGAAGCATGCTAGGGGTAGATACTGCTTCCCTATAAGACCATCCTCTGGTTATTGAGACATTAGCTTAATCCCAAATTCCCTTTGCTATTTTATCTCTGGATACGCATCAGTCCAGCTTTGAATCTTGCCAGATTGACCACCCTCAACACAGTGGTGTGGCAATGAGCTCCTCAGGGATATTACACTTCCACTGGCAGGATAACCCTGGACCTCCCACTAACATTGTGTCTGGGAGGAAGGAGGATGTGGGGCAGGCAAAAAGCACTTAGCTCTACTACTGGATCATAAGGATGATGCTGTTATCTGGAGGGGCAGGTTCCTATCAACCATTCAGCACAAATTCATCTCTCTAAATACGTTTCCACATGGAAGCAAAGTGCACACAGTGTTCTCCTTGCAACCTTTAACATACAGAATCACTTGACACAAGACTATTCTTCAGGAAGACTTACCATGGAAACACCAGATCTGCCACTGTTAATCCTACAGAGAAATACAAAGAAACACATTATTTCACTTGAACCCTCCCTAATTTTTAACATTATTGTTGGGTTTTGAGGAATTGCAGGCTGCTTGCCAATCATTCGATGCCCCCAAATCTAAACCATGTTATAAATAAAACTTACAACGAGCTAATCATCTTGCTTCACTGCTTTTACCATTCTTCAAAAACAGGGTCAGAACTAATTCCTGTGTCTTGGAAAAGATCTCAGGGAGGGGATGCTTGCTATTCTCCACTAGGGCAGTAGGATGCCCAACCCCTTCCCCATCGGCTTTGCCAATCAAGGCATTGTGTTTGTGCAGCATCGAGCACCATCAGCTTGATTGTGGTCATTAAACAACAAGGAAAGTTAAAGATGTGAACCTGTGTCAAAATGAAAAGGCTACACACAGACTGTGGCCTGAAACCATCCCATCACTGTGTGATGAGCAGGGCTATACATGGCTTTGCCCATTATCCTAACGGGCCAGATACCTGCTTGAGGCAATTTGGCACAGTGTCTTAGCCTAAGCTCGCTGCAGCAGCTGCAATGCCAACCATATCTAGGTACTGCTGCAGTTAAAACACAGATCAACTGACTTCATTGTACTTTACCATTCCAACTCTCATGTTTGAAGAACCAGTATTTTCCTCCTCCGTAGTTAACAAACACCATAATTATAAGAGAGAGCCTAAAAAGACAAGGAAAAAAAACACACGCAAAGTATCACATGTTGATGAAATACATATATATGAACACAAAGTCAGTGTTTACCCCCATTAAAACATTTATAACTGCGAGATCTGGTTTATTTTATTTTTAAAGCAAGATTATGTACAAAGTCTTGAGCTTTGCCAAGAAGGAAGCAGCATTTCAGAGATCACGGGTGACAGTAAACCAAAGTAAGCTCCTCCGCAGAGCGTTTTCACGCTGAACATATGTTGTTCTTTTCCTCCCTCTGACACAACTCTAATGTTTCTTCAAAGTAGATCAACTGCAAAGTGTTTTGGAAAATCCAAGAATTCAAACCTTGATTATCTTCCAAGTAAAACAGACCCCCTTGAACCATCCATCTGCTATGTATTTCTGTACACAGTCAAACTGCCATTGGAGAGATCTCACTCCCCTTGGAAGAGCTGCTTTTGAGCAAGGTCTTATGCTCACCCTCGGAATGTGTCCAGGGAACGCAGCCGCTGCCGAGAAGCTGTGCTCCACAAACACGGGGTGACATCACTGCTAACGGAGTCTGCTGTGTTCGGGGACCCGAGCTCCTTCAGGAACAAACCAGACACACAAAGGGCAAGTCAGCAGCTGCATCAGCTGAGGTCAGGGAACAGAGGTCAGCAAACAGCAAACATTCACATACTGCCTTTGTCTTTGTCCTCCACATCTTCCTTGTCCTTTTGCTTCCCCACTTCCTACTTCTACCCTGTTCAGGGCTTCACAGTATTGCAATGGTATCTGCAGATGTTCCACACTCCACCTTCAACCAGGGTGGAAACAACAACGCACTGAAAAGAGCCTGCATTTGAGACTCGTGAGATCTGGGTCCAGTCCAATTGGCCACAGACTTGCCACCACTGTGAGTGCTGCTTTACAACAGGGCTGAACAGATCCAGTTGCTGACTCTCAAACAGGATCCATCCCACCAGTACTTGTCTGAGACTACACTGCTCAGAGAGTTAAACCAGCAGAAAATCAATCATTTTAAATGCAGGAGTGGCTTCTTTACTGTTCAGTTCCCTAAATCACTCTGATCAGCCCCAGTGACAGCATGAAGAAGCAGACGTTGCTGTAACACAGCTACGGAAATGACCTACAAGAATTGCTGCAGAGCCTGCTCCCAGGTATTTTGGCTCTAAACAGGTTTGGACCTCCTAGAAGTGAAGCCCAAACTGTGACGATCTACTTACACTCTAACACAAAACACAGCTCACACAGAAATACCAGCTCTAGGGCTGCCAGGGAAATCTTGACTTAAGTATAGATCCTGCTAGAATTCCTACTGTGCTGGAAGCAGACATGAAAGCTGGCATTTCTTCCCTTCCCTTACACTGACTGTGTCAGAAGGGGACAGTATTTTCACTGACGCAGGGCATAAAGCTGTACGTTCAAGACTTACAAGAGCTCTACTGTGAAGCCACTAAAGTTGTGTGGAAACCCAGCCTAGCACTCTCCATTGACATGAAATTGCCTGTCTGACATCAATACAAGATTTGCCAATGGAAACATGCACAAAGGGGAGGACGATTAGTAACAAACAAATCCCCGGATACCTGAATAGCGTCTGTTCCTCAGAGATGAAAACACTACAGAATGCAAATTAAAGATACCGTGGTCACTCACTCACTCACAGAATTAATCAGACGATCGGTTTCTCTGGGGTTCAGTTTCTTGTAAACCCAGTTTCTAACTGCATGAATTCTGAAAATCAGTAACAGTTTAAAACACAAAACAAGAAGCACTTTATAGCCAAATTCATCTTAATATCAACTATTCAGAAGCAATAACTCAAAAGTTGGGACAGTCCCTATTTCTGTTTTCCCAGCTCCTACACACAATACTGAGGTTCAGCCAGCACCTGGGACCTCAGTGATATTCAGCTATGTAACAACACTGCCACAAGCTCAGGTTTGGGTTGTTTACAGTCAGGGATGACTCTGGTCACTCAGTACACAGGCTGGAAGGCTGCACATGCTACACACACTGAGGTCCCACTGACTTGTACTGCTGATTGACGGATAGACCCAGGCACAAGTAACAGGATGGTGAGGCAGGGTCTGCAGCAACCGCTCTACACACAAGCTCACAAGGCTGCAAGGTATTCCTCGAGGGAAATGGCATCACTCTATGATCACATGGGCAGCTACCACAGCTCACCTTGTACGTGGCAACTCGGTAACAGGGCTGCAGTGGGACTCTGAAGCACTAACACACCATGATATGTGTTTTTACACCAGTGGCCCAACTTCGCATGCAAGGAACTACTGCAATACCGTTACACTTACTTCATCAAAAGGCGCCCGACAATCAGGATAGTGAGGGTCCCCATGTAAACCAGGAAAGCAAAGAGAATAGCTGCACGAAAGAGATAAGAACACAACTCTATAAATGACCTAACAAAACCATTCAGTAGCCAGGCCTTGGCCAAGCGTGACACAAACATGATAAAAAGCTCAACCCACCAAGCATCATACCACCTTCTCCATGCAGTACACAGACCCAGCCTGAGCCCCAGAGGAAAAAAACAAACACACACACCAAAATCCCAGAACAAGCCAAACCAAAAGCAGGCTAGTTTCGAAGTGCAGCTACATGACTACACATCTCAGCGTAAGAAAAGGCAAAGTAAAACTGCGCTGCATCACAAGGCAATCGTGAGAAAAGAACTGATGTGCTATACATTCTGAAGAAGAAACTGGAGACTTAGAAATAGCCTCAACATGAAGCAGAAGACAGGGGAGAGGGTAATACCCCAAGTTTGCTAGCATGGAAAAAATTTCTTTACAGCTGGAAAACTAGAAGGACTGAAGAATAACCTAATGTAAAGGAAAAGAATGGAAGACATATAGATGAGAGTTTGAAACAGCCCTGGAAAAGAGATGAAGAAGCCAGATGTGATGCTTAAAATTAAAAGCACAGCAACAAACAGAAATCCAAACACTGCATGAACTGTTTCCCATTTTGTGAGAGAAGACAGAGGGAAGAAGAGGAAGGATTGTGCGTACATACATTAACGTGCAGGAAAACAGGAACTAACCACAAAAATACCTCCCTCCAGACACAAACCCACTGATTTTTCTGGGCTAATCTCTGCTGCAAAAAGGTTGTAGTCATACAGTATGTCATGTGAAGAGGCCTGATTCCGGTCAGGCCCTCAAGATGGGTGTATAAGACATAAGGAGGTAAGATGCTGAGGGAGAAGAGAGGCAAGCCCTTAACACATCTTCAGCACAGCATGAGTGGCTGTACAGGCTTTGTTAGGAAGTTGGTTCTGCTGGGAGACATGCAAGTTGTCTAAAGAAAGGGGAAAAGAGAGCATTACATACGGAGGTAGCTGTTGACAGGGCCTTCATTGATGGCTAGGTCACATGAAACAGTTTTGGTGCTTGTACTTAGGGTCTTTACCACAAGGGAGTAATTGCCAAACTCTCCAAAATGATACTGAATCCTGCAAAGGATAAAGGAAACGGAACTTGCTGAGCATCATTGCTATGTGCAGGCACCACAGCAGCATCTCGGGGACTGTAAGCCTGGATGCTTGTAGGAAAGGCAAGCTGAAAACTTGTCCAATCAGCATGATCTAGCAAGGAGCTGCCTGGCTCTGCCTTTGCCAAGCATCACCCTCTCCTAGCCCAACACAGATGTATTACCACATGAGTACTGCCTACTACATCACCTGTCTTCTTGAACCACACTCCGCAAGAGAAGCTGGGCATGGGCACATGCTGGCTCCATACATACCACTTTGGTTCCTGCTAGTGCCTGCATCTTTTCAGCACAATTGCAATGTATGCCTCAATTACGGCAGCAGGGGGAAGACTGCACTCTAGGTCAACAGTCAGTAAAAAGGTCATGAGCTGGCAATAAACGGCCTACACGGCTCCAAGGTAAAGAAAACTAAACCGAACACAAACCCAAAAGCAAACTAAACAGAAAACCCAAACAGGATAGAGCTACCCAGATGTTCCCTGGGGCTGCGCCACGTACTTGCAGAGCTCTGTGTCACTCACAGAGC